ATCTCAGTTTGTTGCTTTCCCCAATGTGTTCAAGTTTATCAAGATTGCTCTGGATCATGGGCCCTCAAAGTACAGCCCACAGGACGGATCTGACCCACCATGACTATCTATCTGGCCCATGCCGCTGTTTGCCGCCCCTGCGCGCATTCTTGCTGCATGGGTGGGGAGGTGGTGGCTTGCTCACTTGGAGATGGTCTCTGAGTGAGCAAGCCACCGCCTGCCTGCCATACTCGCATGCTCCCCGCTGCCTCGCAGCGCGGGGGGGGGCGGGTGGTGGCTCACTCGATCAGAGATCATCTTCGAGTAAGCAAGCCACTGCTGTGCGTGCCCGATGTCGCCTCACATGCGCCTGACAGCGCCTCACCGGCCCGTGCGCCCAGGCACCCCCACCTCACCGGCCTGCACGTGTAGCCACTACCTTTCAACTGGCACCCTATTGAAAAAGTTTGAGGACCCCTGCTCTGAATCTTCATTCTGTCTTCTAGGGTGTTCACTGTTCCACCCAGTTTTGTATCATCTGCAGATTTGATTATCTTTCCTTGTACTTCCTTATCTCTAAATAATTAATAAAGATGTTGAAGAGCATTGGGCCCAGGACTGAACCCTGTGGCACCCCACTAGTTATCTCCATCCAATTTGAGAAGGTGCCATTGATGAACGCTCTTTGTGACTGATTTACCAGCCAATTTTGGATCCACCTAATAGTTTTTCCATCTAGTCCAGTTTTTGCTAATTTTCTTATCAGAATGTTGTGTGGTGGCACTATGTCGAAAGCTTTGCTACAGTCTAGGTAGATTACATGCACAGTGTTCCCTTTGTCCATTTGGGAAGTTACCCAGTCAAAAAATGAGATTAAATTAGTCTGACAGAATCTATTTTTGATAAAACCATGTTGACTTTTATTAATCACTGCAAGGTCCTTGCAGACTGACTTTTTAAATATTTTGCTCCAGATTTTTTACAAGAACTGGTGTCAGACTAACTAGCCTATACTTCCTAGGTTCAACATTTTCCTTGTAGACAGAGACAACCAGTGCTTTTTTTGTAAAAAAAAAAAAAAAAGGTGCCCAAACTCAGCTGGCAGTAAGCGCGCGCCCACCCACACACACTGCACCAAGCAGCGGAGCGTCCCAAGCTCCCTCACTATGTCCCAAGCTCCCTCACTATCTCACTATCAGATAGCAGACACAAAAGCAGCCTGCAGGCACTATGTTAATGATGTTTGCTGCTAATCTGCTTCAAAATCACTTTGTACAATCCATTGGAAAAAAATGTGCTGGAGCACAGTTTCAAGTTTCCGTAGTTCTATGACAAAAAAAGCCCTGGAGACAACATGGTAGTTCTATGACAAAAAAAGCCCTGGAGACAACATTAGCCCTTCCTTTCCCTGCTCTTGCCTTTTCCTCAGGGGAAAAAATGGAGAAAGCACCTGCACACTTGGGTGCTCAGAGCTGGGCTTTTGGCTTGCTCCTGAGTAGGAGATGGCGAGTCCTGCTGACCCTTCACCTGAAAAATTAGTTACAAGTGTGAAACTGCTAAGTTTGTCTAATATTGTGAAGAGGACTCAGATGAGAACTCAAAGGATTAATTGTGCTGGCCTGTCTCTGTTAAATTCTCCCAATGAGACTTGGTAGTAAGGTTGAAAGTTGAGTGGTTTATTCCTGAGAGGAGGTGAGTGGCATCCTCACACACAACTGACCAGGTGTACCGCTTTAAAATTTTAGTGCTTGACTGCCATCAGCTGGTATGAGTAGCTGGTGGGAGGTGCCCGATTGGTTGGTGGGCCATTCCAGGATTGGTTGTTGGAAATCACCCCATGCCCAGGAGGGTATTAAAATGCAGTTGTTTGGTTTGTATCCTTTGTTTTCCTGTGGGGGAAAAGTGTCTGGGGACTTTCTGCTTGACTGTCTTTTCTGGCCCTGTACTGATGGGAGACCTATTACTGAGATCATAGTGATTAGGGACAGTTTGGCTCTTTTCTTTGCTGGAAAATCACTGAAGAATTTGCATGCTCATAGGAATTAGGGTCTCAATTTCTTTGAGCTTTCTATCTTGGATTCTTTTACTGTCTTTTCACTGTTTCAAAGTTCCAAATTCAGTGCCCCAGGCAGAATGGATTGCCAAAACAGGGGCAGGCAGTTTAATCCTAATGAGGGAGGGAGTTTGAACAGGGCTGCCCAGCCTTTCTTTCCTATATATTATATTTGCAGTTGGCATACATTGCTTTTTACTAATGAATTTGTGAAACAGGTTTTTTGCAGGAATATAAAGCCCTGGAAAATGACCACTTCACATCAGTGTAAGACACCTGAAGCAGACATTTCGGGAGAAAAGCAAATGAATATAATAATAATAATAATGATAATGATGTGATGTAATTCAAAATATACTCTATGAAAGTTGGAACAAAATGTGAATGGAACCAAAATGATAGAAAAATCTAACAAAAAAAATACAGAATATGGGAAGAATGTGGAAATTGCCTGGTGGCACTGACAACACTTAATGTGTAATATAACAGATAAACTGCGGAAACTGCTTTCAAATTTTCTAATTTCTTCCTCCTCACTTGGGAAGGGGAAATGTTGTTACTCTCTAATTGTGCATAAACATGAGAAATCAAACGATATCTTAAAGAAAATAATTTTTGCAGGAAAAAGTTGGAGAGAAGGACTGAGTTGAAGCAGAAAGAATGAGATCATAAACAAGTGACCTTGAACCCAAATACCCATATCTCATCTACCACTTCACTTCCTACTCCCAAGCTGCTACCGTACAGTTGAAAGAAAACACATAGTGAGACTCTTACTTAAAAACGCAGTAGAACTAGATCCCTCTCGCAAATCATAGTGACTAGAGCCCTGGTAAAATGTGTCCTAGGATTAGAAAGTAAACCTATCAGTCACTTACTTGCAATCTATCATTCTCCTCCCATTCAGCATTCTAGAGTAATAAAGCTAAAATATACAATTTTCAGGAGACATAGAGGCCACTTTCACATGTCACAATAAGTCACCCTACAAATAAGCTTTGGTCAGTTATTTATGGAAAAGTCCACAGTGCATCCAACAAATAACTGGGCACTGTGTGGGCTGTTTGCTTTTCAGATAGTCAAAAATGTATTTTCCTTTCTTTTTGTCTCAGAAAATTACACAAATGTGTCCATGATTTATTTTGTTGGTCTTTGGCAGGTTCACGAATGTGTACTTACGGTTTTATGTTGTATGTAGTCTTCCCTAGACAACATGCTTGTCTGTTTCAGCTGTCAAAGGAAGCAGCAAAGTAGGTGAGGAAGTGACATGATGAAACTATATATTGGCTAATTTGAGCACAGTTGTAACTCACAGTTAAAGGGGGAAACAGTGGGAGAAATAGGTGTGCTACAAAAAGGGGTGGCAACAAGATCTCCACCTTAGCAATGTGAGAGCCAGTGCAGTGTAGTGGATAAGAGCATGGGACTGGAACTCAGGCCATCTGGGTTCTAGTCTCCATTCAGCTATGAAGTTCACTGGGTGACTCTGGGCCAGACTTGCAGCCCAACCTACCTCATCGGGTTGTTGATGTGTGGATAACATTGAGAAGAAGATTGTTTATGATGCCTTGATTTCTTTGGAAGAATATATGACAATGATAATGATGAACTGACAGTTTTCTGTCATATATGACATACGTTCAACTGACATATGTTGAACTGACAGTTTTCTGTGCTTATATACCTCCTTTTTGATGCACCACCTTCTCCCACTTTCTCCATTTTAGCATAATCATTTGGCAGGTAGACTAAGACATGTTAATTAGTCTGTATGCAGTCTAACCTTATCAATCTGTTAGCTATTGCATTTCATGACTCCTTTTGACAGCTGAAACTTAGAACAACAATGATTAGGCAAGTCAACATATATAAGACAGTTATAAGTGTGCACTGGCTCACCTCTGAAAGAGTGACAAAATATATTTACACAAACATTTGAAGACTGATCCCCCCCAAAAGAAAATATTATAACATTGCTGCACATTTTGTGGGCCAAAATATGAAAAAGGTGGGTGAACTACTGATGAACACTTCATTTTGTTGCTTGAGCATCAGTGCAGGGGCTGTCAGTGGTCACAGCACAGGCTGATGGCAAAGAACAAAAAGGGATTCTTCTACTCTTATCAAGCAGATAATTAGGTGCTTTCTGCACCATCAGTGGAATCAGGTCTCCAGATCTGGACAACATGGCAACCTGTCATAGGTCAAACCAACTGCAAGAACAAGCAATGAGATTTTAGAGTGGTTTGTTGCCCTAGAATAAGTGACCCTGCAGAAAGCAATCTGGGTTCAGATGACACAACAACCTGCTGTGGCTAATTACTCCTTGGTGCTAATTACTCCAGAGAGACAGCATACACCACCCAAATCTTATTCTATAAATATTTTTATAATATTGTCGTATTGGCACTTATTGGCAAGTGGGAGCTTCTAGCTGCTGCTACCTTAATTTTTCAAGAAAGTCTCTAGGCAGGTTTGCTTACCATGCCAACCCAAAGTGGCCATTTTATGCTTCTGCCCAGGACAGTTTTTCAACATTCCAACTGTGTCCATGGGCTTGCCCATGGATACAGTGTTTTCCTTGAGAAGTGTAACTGAAATTATTACATTTTTGCAAGGAGTGGGGTAGCATAAAATTATGCTCTGTTTCTTTTAAAATTTTATTTAAAAAAAGAGAAAAAATATTCCAGAGAAGCCGTTCTGCTAGGATTTGATCTGCAACACCCCAGAATACAACCATGGCATGTATCTACAGATTCTGTACTACATAAGGCTTTTTGCAGTACAGCTGCAGTTACAGTGTGCTTTTCTTGTGCTAGAGTACAATAAGAATACTGTCAAGTCAATCATTTGTTTGCTGAAGTTGTTGCTATACAGTGTGCTCTAGAATTAACTTTATGATCTTCTGAACTCCCTTCATATTCTTAAGTGATTTCAGTTTCATAAATAACATATTTCTCTTTGTTAGACTTCCATTTGCTGAAACAGACTTTGATACTCTGTGCAATGCTTTACGATTAACGGACAATGTGAGAGTAACTGCTTGGAAAGCCTGTAAAAAAATTTCTATGGATGGATTTTTAGTGAGTATATAGTTTGCTTTTTAACATTCAATAATCTTTCATATAAGGGTGAGATAGTAACAGCAAACAATGCTTATTTACATGGAGGGTGACAGTGTAGAAGCTCCTGGTAGGGTGTGGTGGCAACCCTGAGACGGGTCTTCCCTGCTGTGGTGTCCACCTTGTGGAATAGTCTCCCTTATGAAGTATATTAGGCCTCAGTGCTGGTGTGTTTTAGGTATATATTGAAATATATCTTCTTTCATGCCATGAGTTACATTTGTATCAACTTTATGGTAGTACTGCATGTGTGCACATGTGTGTGGTTTTTAATTGTTGCTTTTTGTTTAAGTAATACATAGATACTACTTTATGCCAAGTAAGTAATTTCAAGTGTAGAATTGTTGCATTTCTCTTCACACGGAAAACTATTATGAACTGTTGAGCTGGAAGTGGCAAGGTATTTATAACTCTCTTATACTTGAGCAAAGTCTTCTGCCACATGAAAAACATTTAACAGAATGCTTATGTGTGTCAGAAGCAAATTTCAGAAGAATATTTCAAATGTGTATGTAAGCTATGGCATAAAATAGACGAATGAGACACTACAGGTAAATAAAAATATTTGCTGGGGGGAACTTCTTCCTGTTCTTGAAAGAAAATGTTCGGTTCCTGTGAGGAAACTTGCTTTCTCATGAAGTATAAAAAAAGAACTCTGTATCATTCGACAGTGCTTTATGCTTAATGCTTAAAGCAGCGTTGTTTTATAGTTAATTCTAGTACCAGATAAAGAATTGCATTCAATATACATAAAATGATTTTCAACACAAATATTGCTGTATACCTCTAGCCCCTGAAAAGGGGCTGTCTAATGAGAGTATTGTGTGAGAGTCCCAAGGAAATTCTTCAGGAGAAAAAAAGACACATTTCTTTTCATCCTTCATAAACCTCCACCCTCATCTGCTTCTAAATAGTGATAGAGTTCCCCTTTGGAGCTGGCAGTCTTCCATGAACCCAAACTCCTTAAAGCTATATGCTGGGGGTGGGGGAGCTTTTCTCCTGAAATTTCCCAGTGTAGCAAGTGTTTCAGACTCATCAAACATATTCAGGATGGTATCAACTGTTAGGGACTCATGCAGCCCAACCTTTCTTTTTTAATTCCCATATCCCTCTTTCAGTTGTACCTTTAAAATGGCTCAGATACCCTCATTAGTCTATAATTCTTCAAAGGGACTGATCAGAGACTTTCACTGGGTTGTGCTTACAGTTTATAAATAAAAATTACTTTCAGTTTTTTTACTTAAGAGTTTCCTAACTTATATAGAAACCTTGGTTTTATTTTTGTTTAACTATGTTACTCTTCAAAATAATATGCAACTCCATTTAAGTGTGATATTATATGGAATGGCGATTCCCTCAATGTGATTTGGATAAATTCAGAATGAGAGCCAGAGAGGGAAGAAGAAAGAAACTCCTGTTGCTCTTGTAGATTTCTACTAGAACAGTGTTGGCCTTAAGCAACTGTTTGTATGTTTTCTGGGTAAAATAGATATATCAGTTGAGGACAGCTTTAACAGAACATGTGCTGAAGCATGGCCAAGTTCCAAAGAAAAACTTGCATACTCATTTCATTTTTAAACAATACAGTGTTTGTGGTAACCAAATAAATGAATGCTGACATTTCTACTGTCTTTCCGATTTACAATGTACATGAAAACTATTTCTTCCAGGATGACCAAGTTAACAAAGAAATGTGGGGGATCTGCATTTTTACAGCAGCAGTTGACCTGGATGAGATGACATTCACTCTTACTGAACTTCTGAAATGTCTAAGTATTAGGTAGGTTTCTGTCAACTAAGATTCATACAATTAAATATATATTTAAATTTACATAATAGCACTAATATTTCCATATATGTTGTGATCTGTTGCTGTGTTTTTTTATCCACCCTGTTTGAAACACATTCACCTTTTTCCCTTCCCTCGTTTCCATTTCTGGCGCCATAGAGGCCCAAGCTGCTCATCTTCTCTTCCTCATGCTTGCTGTGTTTCGTTCATTTTGGAATCTTTGCCAGTCCCTAAATTCAACTTCTTCTCCTTCAGTGACTACAGCTTGCTTGCTCCTCTGCCACCGAGTAGTGCATATTCCAGCTTTCCAATTGTTCCCCATCACTTTTGGTCAGCATCAAGGACAGTCCTCCATTCCCTTCTCCAGTCAAGAAATACAACTCCATAGAAATCACTGCAGTCTGTATGCTCACATGCACACACCCTCCCAACACCACACCAAAACCTCCTCCAAGACAGACACAGCTGTTGCGAAACACAGTTTTATTTCAGCAGTATCAGAGGGATTGGGGTTGTGAGACAGATGTATTCTGAAAGAAACTATAGGGTATCAGATCCCAAACCGACAGATTAAATTCTTCTGCCGGGGTGCAAGCTCTGCTGCCCAAAAGCAGTGTGTGGAATCTAAGTGCTCCCCATGCTCTCAGGAGAGCATTTAACCTCATACTAGCGTGCATCCAACTACTAGGTACAAGCCTGCTGCCTATTCCTTATCTTCACAGAAATCTATCTATAGACCTTTGTGCAGCACCTTGTGTGCTTACAGTGTTCTGAGGACACTGAGAGCTGCCTGTGGGACAGCTGTGGGAAAAACACATCTGGGTCATGGACACACCCACACCCACCAGCTGTACAGTTCTACAGTAAAGAAAGCCCTGTTAGGACACTGCTGTGGTCACAGCTAGGGACCATCCTTGCTGTGTTTCATTGTTACACTGGAATAGAGGCCTTGGCAGGATGTGCAGGATAGAATCATAAAGTCATAGAATACTAGAGTTGGAAGGGGCCAAGAAGACTATGTCCAACTTCCTGCTGTTCAGGACACCAGTTTACACTGTCCTGCTCCAGTTTCTTTTTGAATATCTCTTGTGCAGGAGAGCCCACAACCTCTCTAGGAAACTGGTTTCACTGTCATATTGCTCTGACAGTCAGGAAACTCATCTAGCCAGAATCTGGGTTGTCACAACATGAACTGATTATTCCATGTTATAGACTATGGTACCAGCAAGAAGAGATCTTGACCTTTCTCTTTGTGACACCCTTTGAGGTACTTACAGAGGGATATCCTCTCCCCGCTTAATCTTCTGTTCTCAAGGCTGAACATGGCCAGTTCTCTCAGTATCTCCTTACAGGGCCTTGTTTCCAAACACTGGATCATCTTTGCTGCCTTCCTCTGAACTCTTTCCAATTTTTCTGCATCTTTCTTAAATTCTGGTTGCCAGAACTGGACACAGTATTCTAGATGAGGTCTGAGTAATGTAGACTATAGGGGAACTAGTACTTCCCATGATTTGGAAGCAATAAATAATTTAAAAAGATGTTGAAGAGCACTGGGCCTGGTGGCACCCTTTTAGGTACCTTTGTTCAGTTTGAGAAGGTTCTGTTGATGTTCATTGAGTCTGATTTTGTAGCCATTTTTGGATCCTCCTAATAGTTCTTCTTTCTGGCCCACTTTTTGCTAGTTTAATAGGATGTCATGGGGCATTATGTCAAAAGCTTTGCTAAAGGCATGATAGGTTATTTCCATGGTGTTCTCTCTGTCAGTTTGGGAGGTTACCCAGTCAAAAAATGAAATTAGATTAGTCTGACAGGATTTTTGATAAATCACTGCATTTTGTTCAAGATGCTTGCAGATTGACTTCTCCATAGTTTTTCCAGGGATTGATGTTGGACTGACTGGTCTATAGTTCCCAGGTTAGTCTTTTTTCCTTTCCTTGAAGATGGGAACCACATTAGCCTTTCTCCAGTCATTTGACTCTTCTGTTTTCCATGATTTCTCAAAGATAAAGACAGTAGTTTTAAGAGTTCTTCCACCAGTTCTTTCATGATTCTGGGATGGAGTTCATTGGGCCCTGGAGACATCACATTTGGTACTGTGCCCTCCTTTACATTGAGTGGGGTGTACAGGTATTATTTCCATGCCTTCAGATACCCAAAGACATGCTTCACAGGGGTCTTACATGACTGTAGTAGTAGTTGAAGTTTGTCTGCTTGGCTCTTCTGGGGAAATGGTAGAGTGCCATCACCCACAACTGAAAAACTTGTCTAACATTTGATTAATGTTCTCCTCTGGGCCAGAAGTAGGAGATGCTCTTTTACAAGACTGCACCAGCTGGCCTCTGTAGTGAATGACTTTTCCTTCAAGGAAGACTGCCAGAAAGAACCTGAGAGGCTTTCATGCTTTGTGAGAAGAGGCTGGCTGTCATGGAGGCAATATTAGCACCATCCTTAATGCCCATTCTGCCCAGGAGTGTGAACAACCTTTTCAGGGATGGAGCAGAGTGTGTTCTTCTGGGAATAATTTCCACCGGCAGCCCCTAAGAATATTGATATGCTAGCTTTTACGAAAATGTCTGTGTCACAGATATAGTGGGTGGTGAATTTAATTTGTCGAGAACAAATCCTGCTAGATTAATCTGATATTAATTTTTGATAATGTAACCTTCCAGATGGAATCCAGGAATGCTGTGGACATAAATATCTTGATTCCACAAAGCTTTTCACAAAGAGCCCCATGATATCCTGATTAGCAAATTAGTTATTCCATCTAGCCCACTTTTAGCTATCAGATGAATCACTGGGATACCACAGAGTTCAACTCTTGGCTCTGTGCTCTTCAACATTTTTATTAATGATTTGGGTGAAGTGCAGGAAATGTTTATCAGATGTGCAGATGCCACAAAACTGGATGAGTTAGTCTGGAAGACAGAAACAATGTTCCAAGCAATTCTGTTAGGTTGGAGGACCACCTCGATCCTCCAGATGGCCATGCCCTCTTACGGGCCCCTTCCAATTTATTATTTGGATTATTTTGTAATACTACAATATTTCTTATGAACTTTTACTAAATCATCTTGGTCTTTCAAAGAGACCTGCTAAGGGGGAAAAAACCTTTCTTCAATTTAATCCTGCTTAATCTAACTTACATTTAATCCTTGTCACATCAAGGGTCCCCAACTTTGTATGATTGTTGACACATTTGGAATGTTGAGAGTTGCAGGTGCTTTCTCAAGATGGCTACTATGATAAGTGTGGCCAGTCCCAAACTGAAAGAGTAAAAGAAAATTTACCTAGAACCTAAATACAAGTCTGAGTTGGGGTATGAACTCCAGAACACAAAATCACCCACAGTTTTATGCTTCACTCATTTCATAGATAGCAGATTTGGTATGGCTTAGCAGCAACTAACTTGGCCAAGAAATACATGCAGGGTCAAGGAACTTTCTGGAAATATCTAAAAAAAATCAAGAGGCATGGGGTACAGGCACTGCATTGTATACTTCACCCTTATATATTTGAATGCCACAGAAGCACAGGTTTTGGATATAAAGACTGTATTGCTGGACATTTCTTTATGAGTGATTTATTATTATTATTATTATTATTATTATTATTATTATTATTATTATTATTATTATTATAACATTTCTATGCCGCCCCTTGCCGAAGCCTCGGGGCAGCTTACAACACAATAAAATACATTGAAATACAATAGAACATAATAAATTACCATTAAATACAAAAATACAAAAAATACACTGAGTTTCAAACATAACAATATAAAATTAAAAATAACAGTATAAAATAAGTAAATAAAGAATATAGGAAGAGAAAAGAGAAGGAAGAAGAAGTTGCCCTGGCCAGATCATATATTTTAACAATTAAAATGATGTTTAAATATAAAGGTCTTTACCTGGCGCCAAAAAACCAGTAACGATGGTGCCAGGCGGACCTCTTTGGGGAGTGAATTCCATAGGTTGGGCGCCACCGCAGAGAAAGCCCTCCTCCGAGTACTTACTCTCCTAATTTCTTTCATGGAGGGTTCCCAGAGAAGTGACTCTCCCGCAGATCTCAAAGGGCGGTTGGGCATATACGGACGTAAGCGCTCGTTCAGGTAGCCAGGACCCAAGCCATTTAGGGCTTTATAGGTCATAACCAACACCTTGAATTGGGCCCGGGCTTCAATGGGAAGCCAGTGAAGCTGACGGAGGACTGGAGTCATGTGAGCATAACGTCCCGTCCCCTTCAGCAACCTGGCAGCTCTATTTTGCACCAATTGAAGTGTTTGGACCGTCTTCAGGGGAAGCCCCACGTAAAGCGCGTTACAGAAGTCTAGGCGGGAAGTCACCAGCGCGTGTGTCACCGTCGCCAGGCAGTCGTACTCCAGGTAGGGGCGCAGCTGATTAATCAGTCGAAGCTGAAGGAAGGTGCTCCTCGCCACCGCTGTCACCTGAGCTTCCAAAGAAAGCTCCGGGTCGAGGAGTACTCCTAAGCTGCGGACCTTGTCCCTAAGAGGGAGTGTTGCACCATTCAGGACCAGGTCAAATCCACCCTCTCCGAAACCCGATCCGCCAACCAACAGGACCTCCGTCTTGTCTGGATTGAGTTTCAGTTTATTGGCCCTCATCCATTCCATTACCTCGGCCAAGCACCGGTTCAGCACAGCCACTGCCTCACCTGGATTAGTGGAAAACGAGAGGTAGAGCTGGGTATCATCAGCGTATTGGTGATTCCGCAGCCCACACCTCCTGATGACCTCTCCCAGCGGTTTCATATAGATGTTAAAGAGCAGAGGGGATAGAATGGAGCCCTGAGGTACTCCATGGCATAGCTGCCATGGCGCAGAGACATAGTCCCCCAGCACTACCTTCTGGAATCGACCGTTGAGATAGGAGCGGAACCACTGCAAAGCAGTGCCTCCGACCCCCAATCCTGCTAGCCTATCCAGAAGGATACCATGGTCGATGGTATCGAAAGCCGCCGAGAGGTCCAGAAGAACCAACAGGGATGCACTCCCCCTGTCCTTCTCCCTGCACAGGTCATCGTACAGGGCGACCAAGGCAGATTCAGTACCGTACCCGGGTCTGAAGCCGGACTGAAAAGGATCCAGATAATCAGTTTCATCCAAGAGTACTTGGAGTTGTCCCGCCACCACTCGCTCCAACACCTTGCCCAGAAACGGGATGTTGGCCACAGGTCTATAGTTAGTGGCCATCTCTGGATCCAGTGACGCTTTCTTCAGGACCGGTCATATTACCGCCTCCTTTAAAGGGGCAGGCACTCGACCCTCCCTCAGAGAAGCGTTAACCACTTCCAAGATCCAGGTCCCAATCCCGTGCTTGGGTTATTTATTAACCAAGACGGGCAAGGATCCAGTTGGCAAGTGGTGGGACGTACTCGTCCAAGCACCTTGTCCACATCATCGGGCCGCAATAATTGAAATTCCTCCAATAATTTTGGACCAGACGGTAGCATTGGCATCTCCCCAGAAACCTCTGATTCATTAGTGGAGTCCAGCTCGTGACGAGTCTGAGCGATTTTCTCCCTGAAATGCCTGGCAAAGTCGTCACAGCGGGCCTTTGAGGGTGGCATCGGATCTTCCTTAGGACCCGGGCGAACCAGGCCTTGTACCACTCGAAAAAGCTCCGCCGGACGGCATTGTGAGGAGGCAATGGAAGTAGAAAAAACTTCTTTTTCGCCGCCTTCACCGCCACAGTATAGGCCCGATAGTGGGCTCTCAAGTGTGTTCGGTCAGATTCATCCCGTGATTTCCTCCACCTTCGCTCTAGTTGTCTCCCAACCTGCTTCATCGCCCGCAATTCAGGTGTATACCAAGGGGAAGAGCAGACTCTGCCCGGTGGGAGAGGACTCTTGGGAGCGATCGTGTCCACAGCCCTGGGCATCTCTCCGTTCCACAGTTCGACCAGAGTCTCGGCAGGAGCACCAGTCTTGTCAGCCGGAAACTCCCCCAGGGCCTTCAGGAATCCATCCGGCTCCATCTGGCTCCGGGGGCGGGCCCATACAATCGGGTCCGCACTCTTATAGAGGGAGAGGCCGCTCTCGAGCACAAACCTCACCAGGAGGTGATCTGACCATGACAGGGGAGTCAAACATAAGTTCCTCACCCTCAGGTCATCCTCTTCCTGCCCCGTCGAGAAAACCAGGTCCAGAGTGTGTCCACGTTCATAGGTCGGGCCGATGACGTTTTGAGACAGGCCCATGGCCGTCATAGAGGCCATGAAGTCCTGAGCCGCCCCGGTCAGTCCAGACTCGGCATGGAGATTGAAGTCCCCCAGGACCAACATCCTGGGGGTCCTCAACACCAGGTCCGAGACGGTCTCTGTCAGCTCGGATAGGGAGACTGCTGGGCAGAAGGGTGCACGGTACACCAATAGAATGCCCAATCTGTCTCGTTCGCCCAACACCAAGTAGAGGCACTCCAGCCCTGGTCTCGAAGGGACCGGAAGACCCGTGAGAGAGATGGAGGCTCGGTAAACCAACGCGATTCCCCCTCCCCTCCCTTCTGGGCGTGAACAGTGTTGAACCAGATACCCGGGCGGGCACAATTGGGAGAGGACAATGTCCCCTCCCTTTCCCGCCCAGGTCTCCGTTATGCAAGCCAGGTCGGCCCCCTCATCCACAATCAAGTCATGGATGAGGGAAGATTTATTATTGACCGACCTGGCATTGAGCAGCAGCACCGACAGGCCCGAGGGGTGGTTGACAAGGCTACCTGGCGCCCTCTGGTTGGGGGCAGAACCAGAAGGAGGGATAGGTGTCAGCCATCTGTCCATCCTTCTTCTACGTGGACACGTTAAGCCCCTATTGCTGTAACGACCATTGCCCATGACCACGCCAATGGCAGCGCCCGTGTGTTCCCCAGGATATATAAACGTCGACATGGCCAGGGATGACTCAAAGCACTGATTAAGCAGGGTAAAATTATAAAGCAGTTCAAAAGAGGGGAAAAAAGAACGATAAAAAAAAAAATCCTTCCCCTTCCCTAAGATTCAGCAGTAGGCAAGCCTATTTCAACAAGAAAGACTGCATGATATAGGGAGAATCATGGTACAGTTGTTCTACTGTATTAGCTAGTTTGAATAATTATTCCAGTATTGGAATTTGTTGTGATCTCCAGATAGTGTGCTACAGCTTCAAATAAATTCCTGTACTTAATAGTCTGTTCTGTTGTCTCTTCTTGAAATGGCTCATTGAAAAGCTGTGCTACACTTGGGGATATTTTCTTTCATTTTATTCAGATTCATAATGTAGGTAGATAAGCTGTCAAACTGCTAGAATACAGGGTAGAGGTCCTGCATTACCTAAAAATGTCCTTTGCAATATCTTCCTTGTTATAAGATTTTTAAGTAGATGAAAAAGTTGAAGGAACCTGTAAATGTTGGACTTCGTATGGCATTTGGTACAGAATTGGTCACAGTATTCATATAACAACAGTGATTATTGGCAAAATATAGGCATATATCCTGGACAGGCTTTTTGTTTTAAAACCTCATGCAGTATTTTCTTTTTGACCTAAAAAACAATTTATTAATGCTTATATTGACCACTTTATTTATGCCTTAACTGCAAGCAGACACAAGAACAAAGCTGCTATTTTCACCTTCAGAAATGTGTGATAACATAATACTTTATTCTAATAGTATAAAAAATTCTTAGTAGTTCTGACTTAAATAATCCAACAGCTGGCCAAGCAGTTCATGTATCTTTATAACTCTAGAAAGGGGAATACAAGCTAAATAGCGGTCATTTAACAAAACAGCTTTTGAACTCAGCAAATGTAAAAAAAAACGAATAGTTTTGACTTTTCAAAAAGAGCATGCGCCAGGGAATGTATGATCTTTCGGCTTTAAAATCTGCTTCATCAAGTAACTTTTCAGGCTCTGTTCAAAATGTTGGTGTTAGCCTGCTCCTAAGCTATAAAGAGTTATCTCAAAGCCTTTCGTTCTTGTTTGTTAGAGTATTATGAGATTCTTTTTCACAGCTACCTAGTAGAAAATAATGTTTGGTTACAAAAACTGGCCAACATATTTGGACTTTTGGCAGGGGCATAATTTCACTGTATCTGCAGAAACATACAGCATTTGATGTAGTAATTTAAAGAGCTTTGGTTGTTGCCTTTTACATTTTTTCCTACAGTGTGTGCAAATTTGTGCATTTGATTAAAGAAATGGATGCCAGCATGGACACCATTAGTTCAAAAGTGGACAGTACCATATCACGACTGAAGAAAAAATATGATGTGCTGTTTGCACTATACCAGAGGTTTGAAAGGTACAATGCTTTCTATTTGTCACATTTTAAAATTTCAGTTTTTAAAAATATTCTTGCTGTTTCAAAATCTCACTACTTAAAAAAAGGTTTGTTTTGAGCATGGTTAAAGCATTACAACTAGTCCAATTACTGGAGATTAATTCTGCAATCTGAACTACATTTTGTAGAGAATAAGTCCCACTAAATTCAGTGGGATACTACTTCTGAGTAATCGCACTTGAGATTGTGTTGCAGGGCACTTACAGTTTCATTTCCTTAACTTCAAATTGCTACATTTACTTCATGGTCATATGATTGCACAGGTGTTAGTTAACTTTTGTAGGAAAAAAAAAGCTGGGAAATAATTGTATAGGGCAGTCATTACTGCCTTCTGGCCTAATTTGCTTCATGGGGTTGCTGAGAAGTTACATCTGTATTTACTTCATAAACATCTGTCTTGCCCATCTGCAAATTGCACACACATAGTTGTAGTAAATTTGTTTAAGAACATGGCAAAATCCAATTAAATGAAGCCAAACTTATTTCTCCTGCTACAAATCCTGTTTTTCCTTTTGTTGAAATAGGTATGACAACAGTTCTTTTGTTTGTCTAAATAGTTTAGGACCCAGTCCTTTGGTCTAGCCTCCTTCCTTCCCCCTCCATGCTGCTTCATCTAGACACCAAAAAAGACTGCTTAGGTGAAATGCAGGGTTCAAGGCTGGTGGCAATTTTTTTCACCATTGTATTTTTTCTCCATTGCAAATAAGGCTCCAAGTTTGCCAGCTGATGGTCATTAAGGCCATTGGCTTGCACCCATACTGACTTTGTTGACCTGATAAAATGATACTTTTTCTATTTGTGTAATAATAGCTTGAAACTTATTAATGCTTAAGTAATGATTTTATGTTGGCCATCAAAGTTGCTCTGCTTTTATATGGTACACGTCAAATATCTACAAAGAAAGGAAGAGTAGTACTCAGCTGTACTACTGATTCCAATTTCAGTATGCATCCGTTGGAGTAAACATTACAAATCCAAGGGAAAGTGGGAAATCAAAATGAATATTTGGAATGCTAGAGTTGTATTCAGTTGTCTCACTCAAGTGACAGAAAGTTCTTTGTTTAAGCAAAATGTGAGTAAAATGGTGGACCAGGAGTAGGATGATTCCCTCATTCCTCTGCAATCTCCCATTTTGATTCAAATGGTCACTATGGAACATATATGGGGGTGGGGAGGCAGGAATCTGCACAGGGAAGGAGAAATCTGTTAAAATTTATCTCCCTCCTTTGTTCATGGAAACTTTTACTGGATTAAAGTTGAAAGCCCTGGTACAGAACCCATGCTGGTGTGATATAGTAGTTAGAGTGATGGACTTGGACTCAGGAGTTCTTGGTTCAAGTTCTTGTTCAAACATGAAGTTACTTTGGTGACTTTGGACCAGTCATGAGCTCTCAACCTATCTGCCTTACAGGGTTGTTGTAAGGGTCAAATGGAAAGGAGGGGAACCTTGTAAGCCGCCTTGAGTTTCTTTCAAGAGGAAGAAAGGCAGGCTGTGGAAGTAATGCAATAGCAATAAGCTGTTGGAGGCTTTTTATTTAGTCTAGAAATACTACAGCTATTATCTTAGAAGTAGTGTTCATTATAGAATAATATATGCTTATAGGAATTAACCTAATGCAAACTTTTTAAATATATTTTAAAGTAGCCTTAATATTTTAGTGCTTGCTTGATTCCCCCTTTGGTAACCAGTAATTTTAGTCAGGTGAGTAAACCTTACCATTTGCTTCCCACTCCCAAGGGACAGAGCAAGAATATATCTCATTAGCACAGTAGGCTTTCCAACATCAACCAGTGAGTTGAAGAGCAGTGCTGCAACCAAAACTACCACCTCTCTCTAGGACCAACTAAGTGTGATGAACAAATTTCACTGACAAAATAGGAATGTGTAGCTAACTCCCTCCACCTCTGCAATTTCAGTCTCTGTTTGAGACATCATGATTCTAACTGATGATCAGACTGTTGTGTCAGTTTAAAATCAAAAAGTCTTGTTTTGTTTATTTTAATTTATCTTGTATCTTCCTGTCCCTGGGTGGTGAGTGATCTTGTTGTCTATTACTGTCCTTAATCCTTTTAAAAATATTCTACCTAAATTTGCATTACAGTGGTAACATGGGTTGCTCTAAAATTCCCACAGTTCTCCCACCCTGATTGTATGTTTTGAAGAGTGTGGAGGACCAACTACACTGCCTTTTGTGCCACTGAGAGAAAGACCGGGAAAAATTCCGCTATTTGTGAACACTGAAGAGCTGTCTGTAGACCATATCTGGAATGAGAACTTTGTCAAAATATGGTGCTATTTTTGGTATTGTCCTTGCCCCTTCTGCCTTTGATCCCATCTCTTTTGCAATTGCCACTGCATTGTGGCACTAGGGATGTACCAAAACAGGAAAATCTGGCTTCTTTGAGTTGACAGATTGCTTATCCACTTCAGGCTGAGTATATTTTTCCCCAAACTTCCATCTCGTAGATTGTCTAAAAGTGTGTGTATTTTCATAACTGCTAATAAAACACACACCTGAAAAACCATGTAGTTTTAGCACAACTTGTGCAGAATCAGTCAGTTTCCTTAAAATTGTAATGTAAGCAACGTTTGATTGTTTCTGCACAAACTACACTAGAGCCACATACTGTTGAGTTCCATTTCATGCAAATTTCATTAGCGGATGAAAAATTGACCAACTTGAGGTGTGTCCTACAAACAGAAGTCCATGAGCTGGCTCAAGCTGGAGAACAAGTCTGTTCTAGCCCAAGTGTTAGGGTTAAATTTCAGTTTAGGACTAGATTAGAGTTGGAATTCTCCTTTTAAAAAGTCTTTTATCTGGTAAGATCCCTCTCTCTCTCTCTCTCTGCACATGTGCATGTTTGCGTGTGTGTATGCATGTTGTATCTTAGCCACCCTGACAAAAGAAAATCATCATCTTTAAAATAACCAAGGTTACATTGAGCTGATGTGTTGTAGCACAGTGATAATGTTTTTATTCTTTTTTTTAGGACTTGTGGACTTATCTATGTTGATGAACCTAATGATCAGTAAGTTTGTTTACATGCAGTAAGAAAGAATGGCTAATGGCTGCTATAAGTTGATAGGAATAGCTGTAGGGAATAAATGGCAGGGATGCAGTATGATTCATGTTCTTTATACAGAAACAGTTTTTCTTTTCAGCAGCAACAGCAACAAAGCAATGGGATTTGTCCTATTGAAATCAGGAATACATTATTCAAATAACTGTAATAAAGGTTTCTGGGGTGTAAACTGAGTAACTGTAGGACATTGTAAAGTAATATAACTTGAAACATTTCTATGCTTACAAATTGTATTTAGAAAAACAACTATGGATTGATTGTGTGTAGCAGATGATGATGATAATGATTATAGCATTTATATGCTGGCCTTTGCCACAGCCTCAGGATGGCTTACAAAAATAGCAATATAAATAACAATGAGATGATACAACTCTCAATAAAAATAATCAATAAACAATGCATAATACAATAAATAATAAAAATAAATCAAATCAAATCAAAAATGACTGTTAAAAACTGTTAAAAATACTAATTTTAAAAATACTGTTTAAATAAAAAGGTTTTAACCTGGCGCCAAAAAGTATATAAACTCTGCACCAGGCGAACCTCTGAAGAACACTTAAAAACTGTGTTCCCACATAATGCTAAACCATGCTGTGCCGATACCTATCTGGGGTCCTGGATTCAGACAGTTGCATGGTTTCCACACTTCTCCATCTTTCCTCCAAATGGCATCAATCCTGCTGGCTGAAAATCAGTCCCAGTATCCATCATTCCTACCTCTTCATTGGCTCACACATTCCCCTTGCCATGGCCTCAGACAGCAGCTCTTGGGTTTCTGTTTTGCTTTTTCCTGCTCAGATGCATTCACTTACTAACTAGAGTAGCACTGTTGCACTAGAGTAGCCATTCCCTGTGCTGCCATGTTGTGTGCCAATGTGCGAGCACTGACTTGCGCTCACACTTTCTCCCTGTTCCTCCCTTGCTGGAGATGTCCACAGTTTCCTGTGCTGAGAACTCACACAGGCTGAAAGGGGCTGCCTCGCACTGCAGTCTGGCACACCTAGGGCAGCAGTGCAAGTACCTGTGCCAGAGATGGAGGTGGTGTGTCCTGCTGGGAACAGTTTCCTGAGGAAGCACATGTGTGTGCCTACCTGGGAAAGTTTCTTAGCTGGCTGTTGGGAATGTTGTGGCAGGAGTTAGGGGACAATGAGGCTTGTTGACAATTTTGAGGACAAGACAGAGTGGGAGACATGGACTTTTCAGAGAGTGCCTCTTGGTGGTGCCTTCATGGAGCATATGTGCTCTTCTTATGTAGGGCAACTTTCACAAGAGCGGAACACTGGCTCTAAGAGTAGTATAAAGGTACAGCAATTTCAGAGCACTGCTCAGACTAACTAGTGACCAGATAGGAGCACCAAGCACAACCATTTCCAAGCTTGCTGCTGCTGGAGGTGGTGCATTGTGAAGCCCTGCTGCCAGTATTCCAAAACTGCAAATGAACACTGGGACAGCAGTATGCTGGTGGAGAAGAACAGGAGGGTGGAGCATCCAATTATAGTGTGGCTGCAGCTGCCACAGCAGTTGCTGGACAAACCTGGTTAGTAGAAAATGCATGCTGGATTATCTGCTATGGCTACTCTTGCCACAAAACTCACTGTCAGAAACATGAAAACCTCAAAAATATGGAAACTGGTCTCAGATGTGCATGATGAAGTGTTGAAGCCATGCAACAAACCATTATTTTTCTCTGTGGTTCCGTCCTTACTGTACTTCACCATTGTTGGTAGGTTCGCATGTGATGACAGCCCATGCCGCAGTGGTCTCCGATTGCTTGTTGTTATGTGTGAACCAGCCCATACAATTGCAATAGGAGGTGCAAGCCTAGATGAATGAAAGACTTGATTGAACTAAGAGTTAGAAAGTCAATCATGCTACTTTGTTCTTTCTGCGGACTGCTTTAAATGTTTCAGGTTTACTCTAAAGAAAGCACGTCATTGCAGAGCAAGCAGTCTATCTTCGTTGAGGCAATCCCAACCATAACTATATTTTCTTGATTTTGACTGTCACAGAAAACCTTTGACAGGTTTGGTTGCATGCTTTTATAATTGTTTTCAAGTAGCAAATATGGAGTCTTTACTGTTTGAATATTCTTTTAATAGAACTTGTGCTGAACTGAATACTTCACTAATTCTAAAACTCTGTTGGATCATGTTTCTTTTGGCAAAAGGTAAGTAGGAGTGGTAGAATGCTTAAAGTGTATTCACTTGATTTCAAGTTATATTTATTCATTCACTACTGCAGAAGATTCTCTGAAAGATCGATTTTATATCTGTAGTGATATGGGTACAAACTTTTTCATTAATGTTTTTTATATTTTATTTAATACTGTGGATTCTTTCTCTAGGGATAAAAGTGAATAATAGACTTTCCTTATTGTTTCTCTACTAGTTATCTTAGTAGTTCAGGTGAGAGAAAGAAATGCTATGGCATACAGTGGTACCTTGGCTCACGAACTTAATCCATTCCAGGACTCTGGTCGTGACCCAAATTGGCCATGAGCCAAGTTAAATTTCCCTATAAGGTTCAGTGTAAATAAGGTTAATCTGTTCTGTAACCATTTTTAAATCAGAAAAATGTGAAATAAAGTGACAGCAACAAAGTTTGCAGCCATCTCACCCTCCCCCTCCCCACCCGGCATGCTGTGGGGGAGGGAGAGATGGGCGTGATCGGGGCGCGCTGGGTGGGTGGAGATGGGCATGATCATGCTGGTGGGGGGCAGAGATCACGGGTGCACTACTGCAGGAAAGTTGGGTGCAATCTCGGCCATCTCCCCCCCTCCGCCCCCAGCACGATTGCGGTCATCTCCCCACCCCCCAGGGAGATGGCCGAGATCAGCCCCGTCTTTCCTGTAGGAGTGCGCCCGTGATTGCGCCCGGCTTTCCTGCACAAGCGCAACTGCGATCTCGGCCATCTCCCCACTCGGGTGGGTGGGGAGATGGCTGCGATCTTGGTCGCTACCCAATGAGTTTGTGACCCACATCAAAATTTTCATGAAATTTTTGTTCACAACCCAATTTGGTCATGAACCAAGGCGTTCGTGAGCCGAGGTATTTAACATCTCTACCAGTTGAACATTTATTTTAGGAATTATATTTGTTCAGTTTTGGAAACTTTCCAGTCTGTTCATAGTTACTTTACCAAAGAGCTTTGTCGCCAGGATAAATGTAATGCCAAAACAGAGCAATTTAAATGAATTGGCTGATTTTATGCGTTAGAGCTTTTTGTGTTCCTTCTAGTTATATCTGAAATTGCTGCTGTTTAGTGTGTGTGTGTGTGTGTGTGTGTCTTAAAACTCTCCCAGAGCAAGATCTTAAATACTAGGCAATAGAAAATAAGAGAACAGAATCCCAGCTGTTAATTCCAGTCACTAGGCAGAGTTAACATTGGTGATTCCTATTTGTGTAGTGCTCATAATAGGGAAGGTGAGCAGTGTGAGAATTAGGTGCCACTTCTCCAAGCACCATCCAGGTCCCTTTATCCATGGCATGGAGAAAGGGAAAATATGTGGTGTTGGAACTGATGAGTTGTCCTCATCATCCACCCTACTGGGGGAGGGGGGGACATTTGGGCCCCTAGATCACAAAAAGTCTTCACACCCTCTAATGGGCTCTACCAGAAGAATGTTTATGACTTGATGTCTGTGAATCTGTCAAGAAGGTATATTACGTGCTTTCCTATGTCATTTTAGCTGAAATGTCCAAAATAGTAATGCCTTGTTTAATGAGACAATCAGGCAGATTTAAACTTGTTTATTTGATGTTTTCAGGAAAAATACTGCAGATGGAAGATGATTTGGTTATCTCCTTCCAGTTACTACTTTGTGTTTTTGATTATTTTATCAAACTGCTGCCTCCTGCCGTACTTAAGGAACCATACAGTAAGGATTTTTTAAAGTAGCATGCCTGTAGTTGTGCACATTCATCATAAGAACTCTTGACAGTAGTGCACATAAGGTTGAACTTTCTGTCCTACATGTCTTATGGCCATTTATCTATTTTAGTTGTCTTTAAAGCTATTTCAATGTATTTCTAATTTAATTAGTTGTATCACTTTTCTTGCTTTCTAGTCATTCTGTAAGAGAGGCTGTACAGCATTGTTGCCATAACCTGATGGTTCTTCAAAAAATGCCAAACCCTAAATTTGAAACATATTGGAAAAATGAATAGAAGTATCACAACAGTAGTTTTTTCTGTAGTACAGTGGTGCCTCATAGTTCGTATGACTCTAACTTTGAACAATCAGTTTAACATTGGAGTTGAGATAAAATCTCTTCAAAATTTGAACAATGCATCTAAGTTCAAACTGTAGGCACAGTGGAAAATAATGCGGTAGCTGCATAAATGTAATTAGTTGTGTGCCCAAGTTGTCTCTCAGCTTTCTTTGCATCTGTGCCTTTTCTCTGTGTGCCTTTTTGATCCTTTTTAGTGCCTTTTCAGTCATTCTCAATGCCTTTTAACTATCTGCCTTCTCGATCCTTCTCACTGCCTCCTTGATCGTTCTCAATGCCTTTTAACTGTCTGCCTCCTGATCCTTTTCAGTGTCCCCCTCCATTTGCACAGGCTGTGTACTGGGCCATTGTGCTTTATACCAGGAAGTGGTATAGGAAGTGAATGAATAGGAAGTGGTATCTGTTTTCTTCCAGTGATGGGAACTTCATCTCCAGAGCCCTGGCATCAGATTAGGGGGTGATTGGGTGGGGGTTTTTTTCCTGTGTGTGCCTTTTCATACATTTTCAGTGCTTTTTCAATATGTGCCTTTTCAAGCTTTAATTAATAAATTTGGCATTTAATTGTGTTATTTTAACCTTAAATTATGAATATTTGCTTTTTAAGTTTATCGAGATGTGTATTGTTCAGAGTCTGGTAACTGATTAATTCACTTTCCATTAGTTCTAATGGGGTACATTGGTTCTGACTTCAAATGATTCAGGGATCAGACAGCCTCCTGACGTGAGTTAAGTTCAAAGTATGAGGCACCATTATACTTGCATAAAATTGTTACTACCTATGCATCTCCCTCCAGAGTATCTGAGAATTCCTCAACTGTTCTATTATCTCACCAGTCATGAAAAACTTTTATCTTTTTTTTATAAATGTTTTATTAAAATTTTAAACTAACACTAAAAACATCAAACATCACATACATCGGATTTACTGGGTCAGCCTCCTACTACATATTTTTTAACATTCTAAAGTCAAATTCAAATCAATTTATAATAATTTAAAAACATCTCTAAGTTTATGCCAAGTCCCGTTTCTCCAGCCAATTATAGAAAGAATCCCAAGTTCAATAGAAGTCAGTATCCTCTTTCTCCTTCAATGATAAAGTCAATCTATCCATTTCTGCGCAGTCCAAGATCTTTCTTACAATCAATCCATTGGTGGGCAGCTCCTCACTTTTCCAATATTGAGCGAATGCAATCCTCGCCACTGTAATTAGGTGCAGCATCAGATACATTTCCTGTCTGTTAACGTCTTCTGGTATGATGCCTAACAAGAAAACTTCGGGTTTAAAAGCAAAGGGTTTTTCTAATATTTTCTCCATTTATGTATTTTAATCCAATTTTTTTTGCCTTATCACAAGTCCACCACATATGATAAAAAGTACCCACTTTATGTTTACATTTCCAACATCTATTTGACATATTTGGAAAACATCTTAGCTAATCGACTTGGTGACAAATACCATCTATAGAACATTTTATATAAATTTTCTTTATATGAAGTTGCTAATGTTACCTTAATGTTTCTTTCCCATAGTTTTTGTCAAGAAAAACCTCTACCTAGCATTTCTGCATCAATACTAGCAGTGATCATAAAGAAGAGATAGAAATATTAAGAGATACATTATATTCCAAATCATAAGAGCACATATAATAAAAAATTAAGTACTTACAATATTCTGGAGGCACTCTGTGTTGCACCAGACCTTATTTAAGCATGTTACAGTGAAGTGGGCTAATACTTAAGCAACCAGCAGCTGCCAGTTCAATTTCTTTATTTAACTTTTGTGCTACAATGAACATATTTTTCATTAATTATTTTAATGGTATTGATATTAATTGAAAACTGGAGGCAAAGGCCGCTATCCTGGTAACATAATATTGGTTCATGAGATGATGGCTTTCTTCTTTCCTGCTGCCTGAAACAGTGCCAGTACAGTCTGCACCTGGTCATTACTCAAACAATTTTTGGTCTAGAAGTAAACACTCACTTTAACATATTGACTACTTTTTACTTGAAAGTTGCCAGTTAGCAGTTTCTAAATAGTCTTCTCAGGAAGTTCAAGTAAAACAGAACCAGGTCCACTCATTTTCAGTTGTTGTGAGAACTGCTAATTTGCCATTGTACTGCCAGCATGTGAGCAGCATAGAACATGTATATATAGCAACACAAGAAGAGTAGTCCTGAGATTTAACAATAAAAGACAACAGAGGGGAAAGACTGGCAACTGGGATATGAGAATTTAGTTAGGTATACTAAGGGTTGGATTCACATTTGTGATCCCTGCTCATATTACAGGGAGCTGACTATTGCAGAATCCTCCTTTGTCCTGAAAAACTGCACTGGAGAGTGTAGAACATGTCCCAAAGAACAGGGACTTCAGGTAATAGGGGGAATTGATGAAAATTGCTTCCCTGCCCACTCTTTTCTCTCAGGGAGAGATCTCAGCTGTATCATGATTCCCTCTGTAAACAGAAGGAATCCTTCCAAACATGGATTTGCAAGTCTGGATCCTGTTGTTAATTTTTTTCAGTATTGTGTGAGGATCAAAGGATTAAGCCAAAGTTTAAGGGTAGGTTTTAGGAGGTGTTTGGAGAGAAGCAGTAGAATATAAGAGTTCTAAAAAAGAATCTCATGCATAAAGGGTTCAGCTGTCTTACATGATGTATGTTGCATCCCATTTAATTGTTTCTCTTTTCTTTTTCTAATAGTTATTACTTTAAAATTATGTTTTAAATATTCTTTTTAAACCTTCCCTTTGTTTAGAAATTATATATAACAGACTCATGATTGTTTTCTTATATAGAATCTCTGAGTACAGCGTCTAATGATGGCTCAAGTAGAACTTGGAGGCGAGGTCAAAAAAGGAATACACGTACATCAAAAACAGATACAGATATAAAGGTTATGGAAGAACTTTGTAAAGAACATGATTGTAATTTGGATGAGGTAAAACCATTTTAGAACTCTTAAAATGCTGTTTTGGTTTTCTGCAAAGCTTCCTCCCTCAGTCCCAGGCCACAGTTTCGTTGTTTGTGTCCTTACTTAGGGCTAACTTCAGTTATGGCTAGTAAATACATTAGAAACTTGGTCAAATTTTTCATATTCAGAGTAACTAGCAGAGAGACTAGCAAGCGATCAAAGTGGATGTAAATACCTGAGTAAGTTCTTTCAAGGCTAAGACTGAAAGTGTTGCTGTTTCTAGTCCAAAGTCCAGTAAAGCTAGTCAGCAGTCCACTAATTCTGCAGAGGTTGACACCTGCGTTTCATCTAGGGGCAAGCATAAAAGTCCAGCTAAGGCAACAAGGACAAAGAATCAGAAACAAGGTCTGCAGTAAAGAAGCTGACTTGCACCTTGTTACGAAAAAATAAATCCTCAGTATGCTGGCTGGATACAACCATGCTTCAATGCTTGTCTTTTCAAGTGACGGTTTTCTTGGGGGCTGGGCAGCCTTTTCCTCTTTGGCTCAGATTCCATGTCTCTCTAGTGAGGGGAAAGGCTTGCTTAATTCACCCTCTGAGGATCATGACTCTTCTCTTGCCAGTGTGTCTGTCTCCTGGACGCTGCCTCATGCTCATGCAGCCTGCAGAAGTCCAACTCTCCCTCAGATGAGTGCTCCTTAAATTAAGGCATGCTTGTTCTCCTCCTTCCTCAGTTCCCTCCCGCTTTTGCTTGTCCCTTCAAATGTGTGTTTTCCTATGATCTGGGTCACATGTCATGATAACACCAAGTAATAGATGGTTGTTGAGTTGTGAGTTGTTGTTACACATGAACCCTGCACTATGCTTAACTATTGTTTGTTAATTGCAATTAACCCAGAGTTCACAATCCAACAAAAAATCATGGGTTTTGTTCTATAAGGTATAGAAAAAGACCTCTCAATAGTGATAGTGTTGCAATGTATTTATTTTGTAGGTGAAAAATGTTTACTTCACTAATTTCATCCCATTCCTGAATTCTGTGGGTATTACAGCTTTCAGTGGACTTCCAGAGGTAATATTATAATTTTAAAACCCTTAGTTCAAGGATAGCCACAATGAATCCTAGTTTTGCACTTGATAGTTATATGCTTTCTTTGATTTTGGATATTTTGTTTGTATGAAGTGAATAGCTACTTGGAAACAGTTAATTAATTAAGTATCTTATTGGAACTGTAGGGAATATTTACCAGTCTGAGTGACATGTAAAGAAGATGAGCTAGATTTATAATTTAACTCAGTATTTTTTACTTGAAGCAATAGGGTGGTAGCCAATGAAGTATTTCCACGCTCAAGACTGCTTTAGTCAGAAGAACAGGCAATGGAGGCAGTTTTTCCTTATATTCTCTTAAAATCTGTTCTGAATTATTCGGGCTTCTGGGCTACAGAAGGGAAGAGCAGAAGCTTTTTCTATGACACTAGATTCCTCCCATTGATGTATAATCACTTTCAAGAATGAATTAAATTGCAGATAAACGTATCTATGTAAACAATTAGTTCATTGTTACCATTAATCTTTTAATCTTTTGAAATTTGAGGTTGAGACTATGTCAAGCAAATATGAAGACATGTATCTGAGAAACAAGGATATTGATGCCAGATTATTTCTGGAGAAAGATCGAACTTTACAGTATGATCATACAGAATGGTAATTTGTTTGTTTGTTTTTCAGATTTATATCCCCTTTTTATTTTAAAGAACTCAAAGTGGTCTACATAACAGAATACTACAGCTGAAAGGGACCCAGAAGGCCACTGAGTCCAACTCCTTGCTAGTGCAGGATACCAGGTTACATCATCCCACTCAGATGTCTGTCCAGTTGCATCTTGAATGCCTGTAGTATAGGAGATCCCACAACCTCCCTAGGTAATTGGTACCATTATACTGCTCTCACAGTCAGGAAATGTTTCCTGATACCTAGCCAAAATCTAGCTTTCTGTAACTTGAACCCATAGTTCCATGTCTTTGCACTCTTGGATGATCAAAAACAGATCCTATCCCTCCTCTTTGTGACAGCCTTTCAAATTCTTGCAGAGTGCTATCATCTCTCCCCTCAGTCTTCTCTTTTGGCATGCCCAGTTCTTTGAATCTCGCCTCACAGGACTTTGCTTCTGGTTCCTAAATAGTCCTTGCTGCCCTCCTCTGAACCCTTTCTCTACATCTTTCTTAAAATGTGGTGCCCAGAACTGGACACAGTACTCCAGGTGAGGTCTAACTATTATTGAGTAAAGGGCAACTAGCACGTCACTTGATTTGGAAGTTATATTTCTGTTAATGCTTTCCAAAATAGCATTTGCCTTTTTTTTTGCAGACACATTGCATTGTTAGCTCATGTTTAACGTGTAATCTGTGACAATTTCAAGATCCTTCTTTTTTGTAGTATTGTTGAGCCATGTATTCTCCATCTTGTAGTGATGCATTTTGTTTCCATTTCCTAGGTGCAGAACTTGACATTTGTTACTACTGAATTTTGTTCTGTTGTTTTCAGTCCAGCATTCTAGCCTTTCAATATCTCCTTGAATCTTCTTTCTGTTTTCCAAAGTATTAGCTATCCCACTCAGTTTTGGATCATCTGCAAATTTGATTATTGTTACTTGTACTTTCTCATCCAAATCATTAATAAAAATGTTGAAGACCACTTGGCCCAGGACAAAATCACTTGTTACATTTCACCATTTGAGAAGATATCATTGATGAATACTCTCCGAGTCCATTTTTGTAGCCAGTTATGGAACCACCTAGTAGTTCTAATTAGTCCATCTTTTGCTAGTTTCTTAATCAGGAAGTTGTGGGGCACTTTCTCAGAAGCTTTGCTAAAGTCAAGATGGATTATGTCCACAGCATTTTCACAGGGGACCTTGGAGGTTACCCAGTCAAAAAATGAAAACAGATTAGTCTGGCAGGATTTGTTCTTGAAAAATCCATCTTGGCTTCTAGTGATCGCTGCATTGTTTTCAAGGTGTTTGCAGACTGACTGCTTTATAATTTGTTCCAGAATTATTCCAAGGATTGATGTCAGTTTTACTGGTCTGTAGTTCCCAGGTTCATCCTTTTTTCTCCTTTCTGGAAGACAGGGACAACATTAGTCCTTCTCCACTTGTTGGTACTTCCCTGTCTTCCACGAATTCTCAAAGATAGTGCTTCTGAAAGTTCGTCCACTAGCTTCTTTATGACTTCATTGGGCCCTGAAGATTAGAACCCAATTATTAAATGATCCTTGACTATTTGTCTGTCTTATCTTGAGCTTCCATCCCTTACCTCTAGCTTGTACTTCCCCTTTGTTAGGATGGTTGTAGATATTCTTTTGGGAAAAGATTGAGCCAAAGTAGGAATTTTGCTCTCTTGCCTTTTCTTTGTTTTCTGCTGTCATTTTAACACCCACATTAAATAGTCAAACTTTGGTTGTCTTTTGCTTTGGGCATATCTGAAGAAGGCATTCTTGTTGCTTTTAGCATCCCTCACTGGCCTTCATTCATTTATCACTTTAGCCTTCCTGATGGCATACCTGCAGTTCGGTACTATCCATTTATATTCTTCTTTTGTAGCCTGGCCTCCCTTCCACTTCCTATACATGTTTTCAGAAAACACAATTCACAAAAATCTCATAGCTTTTTGTGATGCCACATGGGTTTCCTTTGTAGTCTTCCACACTTTTTCCTTTTTGGAATTGTTTCTGGTTGTGCCTTTAGAATTTCTTCTTTTTTAAGATTTCCCACCCATCTTGGGCTCCTTTTCCCATCAGAGTCTCTTGCCATGGGAGTTTAAGGCTGGCTTTCTTGCAATCCTGGGTACATGTTTGGCTACATTTGGCTTTTGCTTTCTTTATAACTGAGAATTCAGGTATGGCATGGTCAGTCTCTCTCAGAATTCCTGTAGCTGCTACTTTGTCCCTTAAGTCATCCCTGTTGGTTAGTATCAAGTTAAGGATAGTCATTCTTCTTGCTCCTTCCTCTACTTTCAGTTGGAGGAAGTTACCAGCAATACATGTTAGGAATCACCATTGTCTTCTTCCTGCTCTCAGTTTTATTCTCACAGCAACAAGCCTGTGAGGTGGGTTGGGTTGAAAGCCTGTGACTGGCCCATAGTCATCCAGTTGGCTCCATGGCTGAACAAGGACTAGAACCCAAATGACCTGAGTCCCAGTCCCATGCTCTTAACCACTAGAGTGCACTGGCTTTCTGTATATGCATTGCAGTAAACTGCTCACTCATGAAGCTCATTGGTAGGCCTGAGGAACTAAGTATCTCTTAGCCTCATTTATGTCACTTGATTGTTCTAGTGATAAATTAAATAAGAATTAAAGTTTAGGAAGAATTTCCTGATGATACAAGTTGTCCTTCCTTGAAAATGTAGTAGTTTCTCCTTTGATAAGTTTTAGCGTTTTACTTAAATATCCCTATCAGGAATGCCATAACTATGGATTTCTTGCATCAGCAGCAGGTTGGATCAGATGACAATTGAGTGAAATTGTTTGATCCTCCTCTTGATACTGTAAGGACCCAAAAGAAGCAGAAATCCTGTAGGATATAAAAACAGAATGAGGGCCATACCTCAAATAGGCATATTTGATAGTAAAGAGGAGGGAATAAGACTGCACTGTGCATACAAAAAGACAAAGGGTTATGGGTCAGCATAGAAGTGAAATGAAATAATCTTAACTCAGGCTAGAACTTGGAACTTTCTTATGTCTGTCAGGAAGATGTCAGGCCTATCTGGGTAGAGAAGTTACATTTTTCTCATGTTAGTTTACAGTTAGAGAGAACACCAACAAAAAACTTGGGTGAAGACCCTCCTGTTGGACTTCCACAGACTCCTGTTCGGTAAGAATATTTTAAGTTGCCCTTATCTTTAATAAAAATGTTTAGAAGATTATTGTAAAGGGTATGATGTTGTGTTTGAAATCAGGTTTTAGCCCTAGAAGTATTGTGAGTCCTTCAGTTCACAGGTCTGATTTGAATATGATAGCGTTGTAGAAAAAAAGCAGTTACAGAGTCTCTGGACAAGTGGAATAATGTGGGTGGTGTGGTCTTGAACAAACTGGCTTGAATTTCATCTTGCAGAATTAGATAATAGTGAATATTTTAATGGATTAAAATATTAGAACTATAGAAATATTAGAACTGTTTTAAGAAAATACAATACTTCTAAACATCAGTTCAGCCAATTTATGCAAAAAGCTTCTTTGCAATTTTCAGTTCTGCCAAAAATCTTGTACATAATAATGCAGATTGTTTGAAAAGCTTTTGACAATGCTAATAACATTCAGGTAAGGATGTAGCAGCACTCTTGTAAAGGTGTTTTTTCTCTAATGTATCTTTTTATTAGATGATTTTTTATTTCTTCAAAGGCAGTTTGTGTATTTCAGAAAATCATAATAAAAATGCTTTCCTCTTCTATAGGGCTGCAATGAGTACTATTCAGCAATTAATGGCGGTTTTAAAATCTGCAAGTGATAAACCAACAGAAAAGCTTATCCTCTATTTTAATGTGAGTGTTATCCTTTTAAATAAATATTTTATATCCTGATCTTTTTGGCAGATCTTTTGCTCAGAAATGATTGCGCCCATTACAAAACTGCTTACTAAGAAGTATTGTTAAAAAGATACCATTTTTTTGAATAAGAGCCTGAAATCTAATGGTGTCCACAGGACCAAAATTTTAGTTCTTTTCCTGCACTGCTTCAAAATTGCACTGGAGTGTTGGGGGACCCTCCAGAGTAGACTGGGGGTGGAGTGAACTAGAAGTCCCAGTTGAGTGAAAGCCTGCTTGTGCTGTGTTGAATTTCAGCAACTAATAGCAGTTTAGGAGTATTTCTGTTGAAGATGAGATTTACTAAGTTCTAAGTTCTTGTAATATTTAATAATTGTTTTATGATGTACAAATATAAAACTGTTAAAAATATAATTCAGTCAAATAATGTTTTAAAACAACTGCACATATGGAAATATTTAACATAGACATAGCATTCACAAGGTCACTTCCAAACTACAAAAAGACCCAACATACATCAGTCACAGATAGTAATAGAGAAACTTTACAAATATTAAAAATATGTAATGTTAAAATAAAAGTGAAGAATGATGTTAAATAGCCTGAAGGAACAATGCAGAATGATGCCATGTCATGTACTGCTTAATAGGTTACAATAATTACTTGGACTGAGTTTTTAAACAAAATGAGAGTCATTGAGGTCTGGTGTAATGTAATGTAATTTAATGTCCCTGATAACGATGATGGGGTGGTCACTGACCTCGAGCCAGACATCCTGGAATGTGACGTCAAATGAGCCTTAGGAAGTCTGAGCAACAACGCAGCTAGTGGAGGTGACAGTATTCCAGCTGAGCTATTCAAAATCCTAAAAGGCAATGCAGCAAAAGTGCTACACTCCATATGCCAGCAAATTTGGAAAACTCAGCAGTGGCCATAGAATTGGAAAAGGTCAGTTTACATTCCGATCCCAAAGAAGGGCATTGTCAAAGAATATTCAAACTACCACACCATTGTACGCATTTCACACGCTAGCAAAGTTATGCTCAAAATCCTACAAGCTAGGCTCCAGCAGTGTGTGCACCGAGAACTACCAGAAGTACAGGCAGGATTCCGAAGAGGCAGAGGAACTAGAGATCAATTGCCAACATACACTGGATCATGGAGAAAGGTAGGGAGTTCCAGAAAAGCATCTACTTCTGCTTCATTGACTATGCTAAAGCCTTTCATTGTGTGGATCACAACAAATTGTGGCAAGTTCTTAAAGGGATGGGAGTATCAGACCATCTTAGTTGTCTCTTGAGAAAACTATATGCGGGTCAAGAAGCAACAGTGAGAACTGGGCACAGAACCACTGATTGGTTCAAAATTGAGAAAGGAGTTTGGCAAGGCTGCATAGTGTCGCCCTGCCTGTTTAACTTATATGCAGAGCACATTATGAGAAAGGCGGGGCTAGATGAATCACCAGTTGGATTTAAGATTGCTGGGAGAAATATCAACAACCTCAGATATGCAGATGATACCACTCTCATGGCAGAACGTGAAGAGGAACTAAAGAGCCTCTTGATGCGGGTGAAGGAGGAGAGCACAAAAGTTGGCTTGAAACTCAACATTAAGAAAACTAAGATCATGGCATCCGGTCCTCTCAGTTCCTGGCAAATAGATGGGGATGAAATGGAGGTAGTGACAGATTTTATTTTCCTGGGCTCCGAGATCAGCGTAGATGGGGACTGCAGCCAAGAAATTAAAAGACGCTTGCTCCTTGGGAGGAAAGCTATGGAAAGCAAATCTAGACAGCATACTAAAAAGCAGAGACATCACCCTGCCGACAAAAGTGCGTATAGTCAAGGCTATGGTTTTCCCAGTTGCAATGTATGGCTGTGAAAGCTTGGACCATAAGGAAGGCTGAGCACCGAAGAACTGAGGCCTTTGAATTGTGGTGCTGGGGAAGACTCCTGCAAGTCCCTTGGACTGCAAGAAGATCAAACCAGTCAGTCTTAGAGGAGGTCAACCCTGACTGCTCTTTAGAAGGCCAGATACTGAAGATGAAACTCAAATACTTTGGCCACCTAATGAGAAGGAAGGACTCACTGGAGAAGAGTCTAATGCTGGGAACAATTGAGGGCAAAAGAAGAAGGGGAGGGCAGAGAATGAGGTGGCTAGATGGAGTCACTGAAGCAGTTGGCGTGAGCTTAAGTGGACTCTGGGGGATGGTGGAGGACAAGAAGGCCTGGAGGAATGTTGTCCCTGGAGTCGCAATGGGTATGATGCAACTTTGCAACTGACAACAACTAATATAATATAATATAATATAATATAATATATAATATCTAGTTCTAATTAATATTATTTTTGCCTTTTTCTGTAACAAATTAAGTTTCCAAATGTCTTCACAGGCAGCTTTGTTTACATATTACAGTAGTGCAAACAGGAGGCTTGCAGGGCCAAAGCTAGGCTGTCTTTTGATATGTTTGTAGCTAGGGTATCAGTTTAACCTGGTAGAAGGTACTCTGTGCTACAGAAACCACTTTTCCCTCCAACCCTAACCCTAACATATGACTTGGAGAGTTTCTTCAGGCTAAAGATGTATTTAAATTCTTGTTATATATGACCTCTTAAATGATAAGAAATTGTTTTTTGTGTTCTTTGTGATTTTCAGGGGAACCATTCCTACTGCCAATAAATTAGCCCCTCTGTACTCTCAGACTTCCTTGAAACGTGTTATCTTTTAACAAATAGTATCCTCTTAAGCCTTGGCTCCAGTGGAAAATGTGCTTGTCATATTTGTTAATGTAAGGAAAAGCTTTCCTCAATCGTTACAGGACTGCACAGTGAATCCTATGGAAAGCATATTGAAAAGAGTAAAAGAACTGGGTTGTACCTTCAAAGAGAAATTTGCTGAAGCAGTTGGACAAGGATGTTCTGAAATTGGTTCACAGGTAGGTATCTGATAGTAGTTCAAAAATAGAGAGGTAGGACAGCACTATGAATGTAACACTCTTCTTCAAACCAGAAAACTAAGTAGATTCTGATACAGGAAGGAGGAATATGGGATTCTGATATATTAAATGCTCAGATGTGTTCAAGTAAGGGTCTTACAAAAATCATAAATTAAACTCCTAACAGCTGAACTATATTTGACATATCCAATTAGCTAAATTGTCAGGCTTGGGAAAGGTGCTTTTCTGATTCTGATTTTTCTGGTTCAAGTACTGAATGCTTTAGCTTGCACCTTGCTTTTTCTATTTTTTTTTATAGAAGGCTCACATGAGTTAGTGTAAAATTAGTTGAGGCTGTGATGGTTGACTTGCCCCTGGCCTTAGTCCTGGCTCTGTACTTTAGTGTCTAAGCATTCATAAGTCTTGAAATTATAGATTTCTTTGTAGTCATGATGGCCAGAACATTAACTTTTCAAAATGCAAATTAAGATTCTTATATTGTGCCTGTTTTGACAAACAGTGTGTTTCTATATTTCTTCGTCGTGGCCTCTGTGCATCACACATATGGGTGCTGTGCCTGCGCAGTGCCTGTAGCCAGGAAGATTCAAAACCTAACAGTTTTGGCGGGAGCTCCATGCCCCCCCGGCCCCAGTATAAGAAGGTGGAGTGCCCGCCATTTCCCCAGTCTTCTTGCGACCCACCGTTCACTGTGCCTTGAGCCTTTCATCTCTTACTGTAGCTACTCGTATACTTGTCTATTGTTCTAAACCTTTTACCGTTTATTCTTCTTCTCTAGTTAGATCTTCCAAGTTACATTCCGTCCCCTGTTAGAAGTTCTTTCTAAATCTATTTTCCCTTTCTCCTATATACAGTATATCACAGAAGCGAGTACACCCCTCACATTTTGTAAATATTTTATTATATCTTTTCATGTGACAACACTGAAGAAATGACACTTTGCTACAATGTAAAGTAGTGAATATACAGCTTGTATAACAGTGTAAATTTGCTGTCCCCTCAAAATAACTCAACACACAGCCATCAATGTCTAAACCGCTGGCAACAAAAGTGAGTACACCCCTAAGTGAAACTGTCCAAATTAGGCCCAAAGTGTCAATCTTTTGTGTGGCCACCATTATTTTTCAGCACTGCCTTAACCCTCTTGGGCATGGAGTTCACCAGAGCTTCAGAGGTTGCCCCTGGAGTCCTCTTCCACTCCTCCATGACAACATCATGGAGCTGGTGCATGTTAGAGACTGTGTGCTCCTCCACCTTCCGTTTCAGGATGCCCCACAGATGCTCGATAGGGTTTAGGTCTGGAGACATGCTTGGCCAGTCCATCACCTTTACCTTCAGCTTCTTTAGCAAGGCAGTGGTCGTCTTGGAGGTGTGTTTGGGGTTGTTATCATGTTGGAATACTGCCCTGTGACCCGGTCTCCGAAGGGAGGGGATTATGCTCTGCTTCAGTATGTCACAGTACATGTTGGCATTCATGGTTTCCTCAATGAACTGTAGCTCCCCAGTGCCGGCAGCACTCATGCAGCCCCAGACGATGACACTCCCACCACCATGCTTGACTGTAGGCAAGACACACTTGTCCTTGTACTCCCCACCTGGTTGTCGCCACACACGGTTGACACCATCTGAACCAAATAAGTTTATCTTGGTCTCATCAGACCACAGGACATGGTTCCACTAATCCATGTCCTTAGTCTGCTTGTTTTGAGCAAACTGTTTGTGGGCTTTCTTGTGCATCATCTTTAGAAGAGGCTTCCTTCTGGGATGGCAGCCCTGCAAGACCAATTTGATGCAGTGTGCGGCATATGGTCTGAGCACTGACAGGCTGACCCACCATCCCTTCAACCTCTGCAGCAATGCTGGCAGCACTCATATGTCTGTTTCCCAAAGCCATCCTCTGGATATGACGCTGAGCACGTGCACTCAACTTCTTCAGTCGACCATGGCGAGGCCTGTTCTGAGTGGAACCTGTCCTGTTAAACCGCTGTATGGTCTTGGCCACTGTGCTGTGGCTCAGTTTCAGGGTCTTGGCAATCTTCTTATAGCTTAGGCCATCTTTATGTAGAGCAACAATTCTTTTTTTCAGATCCTCAGAGAATTCTTTACCATGAGGTGCCATGTCAAGAGGTCGTTGAGGCCCAATCGGTGCGGGTGTTCAAGGATAGGCTGGACGTCCACATGGTGGGCATGTTGTGAGCGGAGCCGACTGGTGCTGGAGGTCAGACTAGATGGCCCGGGAGGTCCCTTCTGACTCGCTCTGTTTTTATGTTTCTATGTTGAACTTCCAGTGACCAGTATGAGAGAGTGAGAGCAATAACACCAAATTTAACACACCCGCTCCCCATTCACACCTGAGACCTTGTAACACTAACGAGTCACATGACACCGAGGAGGGAAAATGGCTAATAATGCCCTATGTGGACAGTTTCACTTAGGGGTGTACTCACTTTTGTTGCCAGCGGTTTAGACAATAATGGCTGTGTGTTGAGTTATTTTGAGGGGGCAGCAAATTTACACTGTTATACAAGCTGTATACTCACTACTTTACATTGTAGCAAAGTGTCATTTCTTCAGTGTTGTCACATGAAAAGATATAATAAAATATTTACAAAATGTGAGGGGTGTACTCGCTTTTGTGATACATTGTATACATACACACATACCCTTCTATCATTAACTCTTTTCACTGTACTTCGCTATTCTCTGTTTTTCTCTTGATGGCTCAGTGTGCTGCTTTTCACAAGTGTTCTCAGTGTGGGGCCAAGATGTCCCCCACTGATCCTCATGACCTGTGCCTTCTCTGTCTGGGAGAAGGCTACAGAATTGATAAATGCGGCCATTGTCAGGCCTTCACCAAACAGGCGCGTAAAAACCATGAAAACCGCCTGCATAAATTGCTTTGAGACCAGGCTCTGCTTGTGTCTGACCAACTCGTGACTCAGCCTGCTTCACAGCCCTGTTCCTCAGCTGATGGAGAGACTTTGCTGGGGGCTAAACACTCCTCTCGTTCTCCTCACAAGCAAAAGGAGAAGAGGAAGCATAGCGGCTCTGTAAGTCTCCAGTCCATAAGAAGGCCAAGAAAGACAGGGCGAACAAGGTGGCTCATAAATCAAAGGCCTACCACTACCGCGACTTGGGATCGTCCGCTCCATCATTCCCGACTGCGGCATTGATGCCAACACTGACTGGCCCTAGCCTCCAACTGGCCATGCAGGTGACCCTGCCAGGGTCCCTTCAACAGATAGTTCCTTCAGCCCTGTCTTCGCCAGACCATCAGGAGGCAGTCTTGCCAGGATCAATTTCTGACAGAGAGATCCAGGACTGTCCACAAATAGTCCCTCCGATGGCACACTTGTCGACTCCGCAGCCTTCGCCTGTGGTCTCCCCGAGGGTCTCGCCTCAGCAGGTGCGCCAGCAGCAGCATGTGTCCGGTCGATTGTCCGGAGACTGGGTGGAGTTGCCCTACGGAACCTCCCATCGTGAGCCTTGGGATGATTTTGCACCCTACGGATACTATTCAGCCCAGCACCACTTTGACCCCAGTACTGACAACTTCTACAGCATTGTGAAGAAGGAACAATCTGCCGCCATCATCCTGCTGCTGATTACAGCACTGCGCCAAGTCATGATGGAGTCTTGGCGGTTCCCCAACCTGCCACAACCCATTTCACGACGATATGAGTCGATGTGCAGAGTTCAGGAGCAGGATATTCCATTCCTCCTGTGTCATTCTAAACCGAACTCTATCGTTGTGGAGTCGTCTCAAGGCTGTGAGACAAGAGAGCACTCCACTCCTTGGGACAAGGAAGGGCGAAAAGTTAACATGATGGCTTGCCGTATCTACACCGTCACAGGTCTCGGCCTCTGTATCTCTTAACTACAAGTTGATGCTAGCAAGGTATCAATTCTTCTTCATGCAGAAGTTGGAGAACATCACAGCATCGCTTCCAGAGCAGCAGAGAGACCTGGCATGTGTCTTCACTCGAGAAGTGATGCAGGTGGTTATACAACAATTCTCGATGGCAAGAAATCACGTTGACTGTGACTCAAGGGCCCTTGTTGGTGCTGTAGCCCTCCATCACCACACCTGGCTCAGGAACTGCAACTTCCCGGACGAGACCAAGAGAAGGATTGAGAACATGCCCTTTGACGTCTCCAGGCTGTTCAACACGAAGACGGACCACAGATTGAAGAATATCCATGAGGCTCACATTACTGCTCAATGTATGGAAGTTCCTGCCCAGAGTCGACGTAAGTCGTCCTGGTCTCGTCCTCAGTATTGATATCAACCATACCCACAATACTCCAGCCGGCAGCAGTTCCAGACCTGTCAGCAGCGCAATTGCAAACAACCAGCTCAGTGCTATCAACAAGGTCGCCGCCACCCCAACTCTGATAAGCGGCAATGTTGACGGGTCGAGCGAACCTCTCCTCTCCTCCTAAACCCACCCTCCACTCTTTTGGGGATTGACAGCAGAATTGACTCCCCATTTGGGAGTCCATCACATCTGATCATCTGGGTTTTGTCCCTTGTGGAGCATGGATATAAAATCAATTTTGATACCATACCCCCTTAGAAGTTTTCCAGCTGCTTCATAAAGACGAAGTTTCCCAACTGCTTTGTAAAGGAGCGATTCAACAACTCACGCGCTCTGAGGGGCTCCACGGTGTCTACTAGAGATATTTTATGGTCCCAAAACGGGATGGTGGTCTGTGCCTGATATTGGATCTATGTGGCTTAAATAAGTTTATTGAAATGAAAAAATTTCAAATGACCACCCTTCAAAATATCCGTTGCTCAGGAGAGAGGATTGGTTTGCATCTCTGGACTTGAATAGCAGCATTACATCCACATCAGCATCCATCCGTCTTACAGACAGCTGCTCCATCTTACAGTCGCCTCAGATCTTTTGAGTATTAATGTTCTCCCCTTCAAGCTTGCTACCGCACCAAGGGTCTTCACAAAATGCATGGCCCCTGTC